CTGTTGTTGCTGCTGCTGCTGCTGCTGCTGCTGTTGCACTTCATTAGTAAAAACGAACGCAAATCTCGTTGTCTCTGACTCTGGGCTTGGCTTTCGTTTTTCTTTTTTGCTTGACTTTTTTTTTGGAAAGCCATTGCAAGTTATTGGCAAGGTTTATTGGCAACGCCTTTCACTGCTCTTTCGGATGATAGCTGCCAATAGCTCAGCTGAACCTGGCTTTAAATCGTAACACACAACAAATAAACAAATTAAAGACAAATCAAATGGTAGCCCTAACCCACATCTCACGCGACACACACACCTGTACGCACGCGCACACACACAGCTGCTGTGGGTTCATCTGTCGCGCAGAGCTTAACATAAATTTGCATAAACACTAAAGTCGACATAACTGTAAACATAATCAAAATCAACCTCGTGTGTATGCTTGGCCCTGTTGTTAATCGAAGCAAGCGCTTAATAAATAACTTAAAGCCCACATGGAAAGGCAGCGCCTGTAGAGCTGCACTACTAGATACCCTGTAGCTAATTTAGAAAAAAATAAAAAATTAGAAATTAGACAGCGAATATTAATCGCATATACATCGAATATACTCGAAATATACTCCGAATATACTCCGAACTTACTCCGAATTTACTCCGAATATAATTCGACTACAGTTCGATTGTATTTCGAATATACTCCGAATTTACTACGAATTTACTCCGAATATACTGCGAATATATTCTGTATATTAACTCCGAGTTTACTCCGAATATATTCAAAACATATTTCGAATATACTCCGATGTTCTTCCGAACTTACTTCGAATTTACTCCGAATAAACTCCGAACATACTCCGAATTTACTCCAAATATACTCCGCACTTACTCCGAATTCAGAATTTATTCGTATATTTGGCATTTATTTAAATATAGAGAAATCTTAATACTCCATAATTATCAGCTATAGCTATATATATTATGTATCTAAATACGAATACAAATACATATCCATATACAAGTGCATAATGTTGTACAGCTTTGCACTTTTCTCCAAGCCTCCCCATCAGACATATGCTGCCTATAGGGTATTTCATATCATTCTCAACTGACGCACGACATTTGCATTTGGACAGATTTGGTGAAATGAAAGAAAAGTATATATTTATATAGATACACATATATGTGCCACACATGCCACATGATCGGCAATACGATTAAAAAATATCAAGTGTAACCGGAGAGCAGTCAAAGCCACAGCAGCCGACCAGATAGAGCGAGAGAGTGAGAGAGAGGAGCGGTGAGGTGGAGACGCCTCAAAAGAATGCGACGACGCTCCACAAAGATAAGCTGAAAGCAGTTGAAATGGAAACTGGCTAACCGACTGACGCGCTGACTCGCTGACTGACTGACAGCTGCGTCTTTAGAAATGGCGCACAAAAGCCAAAGATACAGCCGCAGACAGATTCAGACTTTGACGAAATTGACTTTCTCCATTCAATATAATTAAAAGTAATATTTTTTTTGTCTGCGTTGTCTTGCTTAGCTGCTGCACGTCTTCAGAATTGTAACAGCAGCAGCAGCAGCGGCAGCCGCAGCAACTGCTGCCCAGGAAGTAATTTATTATTGCAAGCGTGCAGTCATAGCTTAAGAGAGAAAAACAAAATAACTATATTTTCTCCAGCTGCCCTGGCCAAATAATTCATTACTCAAAATTCGCAGCGCACCACGGGGCGTATGTGTAACAAGTGAAAAGTCAAAGTCAAAGTCGCTGTGTGTGGCAGACAAACAAAGGCACAAAATATATATATATATATATATATATATATATATATATATATATATATATATATATATATATATATATATATATATAGACTTTAAAGAAACAGCGACAACACCAACAAGCAGAAGAAGAAGAAGAAAAGATGCTTTAACAATTTATGTCGTTTTTTTTTTGTTATTTATGCAAATTGTTTTCGGCTTTTCAGGCTCACTTTCAAAAAGCGAACCCGAAAAAAAAACTACTTTAGCCAATATACATTTTAGCATAACTTCTGCGCCGGCTTTTACTTTTCCTTTTCTTGTGTGCTGTTTAGAAAATAAAATTAGCTTACCTGTTTTTCATTTCATTTCAGTTTTTACATAACAATCAAAGTGAACAAATACCAAATTTATGCTTGTAGAAACAAGGCACGCACTTAATGGACAGGTAGCCAGGCAGCTAGGTAGCCGAGTAGACAAGTAGCCAAGTAGCTAGAGACAGCTGCTGGTACTTAATGCTCAATTTCACGTTCATTGACATGGTCAGCGAGGGGGCGAGGGACGGTGGGGCGGTGAGACGGACAGGCGTGTCTGCCTGTCAAATTGTCACCTGTAAAGCAAGAGTTTCGCCGGCACGCGCGCTTTTAACATCAAGTAAAATAACTTGAATTTATTTTTATTTTATAAAACGAAATTGTTATTTAATGCAATTGAAGCCTGTTATAATTAGATTATATAACAATTTGAGTACGGTTCAACGATTATCTAATTGGACAATAGAAAGCGGCACATGCTCTACAGCCAATTAGACAACTTTTTTTATTATATATTTTCTTTCATTTCTTTTTTTAAAACGAATCAAAAATTGTAAAACCAAAAACGGTAGCAGTTACAAATGTGGGCGAAAAATACTTAAAAAAGCTACATCTTTCTTGCCTTAGAATGAATTTGTATATCAAATGAAGTATACGCAGCGTCGTCTGTCTTTAGTTTTTTTTATTAGCTTTGTCTTGTTATACTTTGCTGCTGTTAATTTTATTTCTCTTCATTGAGTTATACGCCTTAAGCATATTTTGCACTTCACTTCACTTTCGCACATTAAAAATGCAATAAAAAAGTCGAAAAAAAAATCATTTTTCAGTTCGGCTACAAGAGGTAATAATTTTTATTTGCACATCCATTTTTTTTATTTACTGCGTTAAGATTTTTATAGCTTAACATTTCACTTTTACGGCCATGAGGAAAAATTAAATTTTGATGTTAAATCAATCTGCAAAAAAAGCAAAAAAGACCTAATTAAAAAAATGTACATGAGAAAATATTTTCTAAAGAAAGTTTAGATTTGGCACAGCTTTATTATTATTAATTTTTTTTTTAAATAAGTTTTTTAATTTATAAATTACGTACTCCGCAATTTTTTTTAAAAAAGAAGTTGAAAGATAATTCCAATTAGAACCTTAGATTCTCTAAGCACTATAGGAGCTTCTTGAAATATAACACCAACTGCCAAAAGAAAAGCTCAAAGTCTACGTTCAGTCCCAAATTCAAATTGAGACCACTTTCAAAGCTCTAACGGCTTTGAGCAACACTAAACATAGCTGGCTGCTACAGCACTGCATTCAACTGGTATTAATCGAAAGCTCACAGCGTTGCCACATTGCTCTGAGCCGAGCAAGCATTTTTGCGAACAGCTGGCCGCCAAACTTGTATTTATCTAGCGGCTTATCTTATACACGCGCGCACACATAGTCAGACCACTTCTTGCCCACCATTGTTGTCGTTTCCAATCAGTTCTACGTTGCGTCTGATTGGGAGTGGTTCGCCATTTTGCGGTCTGCAGTAAAAAGTTCAGTGTTCATTTTTTAACAACCGGCAAAGTAGTTTTTTCTTAATACATAAAGGTAAGTTCTAGTTGAAATTATTATATAAATGGTGTCTATAACATGACAATTGGAAGGTACCTCAGATGCAGTTATCTAGACTATTAGACTATTTAAAGCACATAATACTGACTTGCAATAAATGCCAATTAGAGTTGCAATATGTGTGCGTGCGTTTGTGTGTGTAGCTGATCCAAAAATGCGTTTGTGAATATGTTGCTTAAGCATTTAGCTCTGTTTAAATGAATAAATTACTTTTGTATAACCTTTGCCTTCAGACTCTTTGGCTTTTGCTGCGCCTTGCTTTGAGTTGAACTTTCCCCACCAATACAAATACGAATGCAATCTGTGCGACACATGTTCGCATTTGTATGAATATGTATGTATGTGTATATGCATGCTGGCACACATACATATTCATTATATATTGCTTATATGCAATTCCGTTTGCTTGTTTATTTTCTTGACTTTCTAAAGCACAGCCGGTTTGAGGGCAGAGAAGAAAATGTGAAAAAGAGCGAGAGATATGTAGCCAGCGGGAGAGATATATCTATTTACACGTTGCCACCTGTGCCTAACTTTCCTCTGCTTCTTCTTTTTTCAATAACGTTCAAAGTTTAAACATATATTTGCATAGTCACTTTTTGTTCATTAGACAGAGATTGTTCGAGTATAATTCTCAAGGGGCTCGCATTGTAATATTCGCCTATTCAGCACGTACATAACAAATTAACAATGCCAAATCTAATCAGAATACTTTACTAGAGCTGATAATGTACAGTAGAAAAAAAACAAGAACTAGTTGTAAATAAATAATATTTTTGGCGAAAGCTTAGGATTGTGGGCGTGTCTTTTCAAGTAATGAATGTGGCGTGATTTATGTACAGACGAAATCACGCTATTTGGCATGCACAGGAGCTACGCAGCTGCTCATCCGAAGTAATTAGCAACCGAAGCTTATTGGGCTGTATCGGGAATCTATGTTAATTTGCATGTACCACACGCCAGCTTGACAACCTAAAAATAATTACATTAGCACACTTACCGTTTATATAAACGCGATAGATGCGACAAGCTGCACAAATAGTTGTGTAATAATTCAATCAAGACAAGTTGAGACAGTTATCTGATAAGAGAATTTCTAATTGAAAGCAGACACACTGGCGCTCAATTCAAAATTCTGTGGCGCCATTATACAACACTGTTCAATGTCAGAGTGCCAACTATCGTTATCGATAAAGATCACCAGCGGTTATCAACAATGTTTTGCGTGTGACCATGAACTTGTCATAAAAAAAATCACTTAAATGATAGCTAGTGGAAAAGTTTTGGGCGCACAAAGGAAAACAAAACGAGCAACAGTTAGCGAAACAAGAGAGAGAGACACTATTTAATTAATATTGTTGGCCGGCGAATGCGATAACGATAGCAAGCTTGGGGCGTACTTGTGTTTTCAATAGTGCTATTGTAGTGAAATTTTTGTACGCATACAAAATTGACTAGGTTTACTGTAGGCAAAAATAAATGTAAAAAAATTACCACTCACATTTGAGCTTATCTGATTACCACTGTGTTGGACCATATAATAACGGTGATAACAGCGATTGCGCAACTCATTTGTAATTGCTGCATTTGAGATTATTACCCGTCTAACGGTGCTTGCTGATTTGCAGTTATCAGTTGAGCAGTGACTGGCCTGGAATACGCGTAGTTCATTTCTTTTTGTCCAGAAGATTCATTCATTGAGGTTTTGCAGTTTGTGAAATGTTTGCATTACGCCGCACTCTAAATATGGCCTACGCGCCACAAAAGTTGACGCAAAGATGCAATTTTAAAGTTAATTTCGGTGTCTCCGCGGCGGTAGGTTTGTGCATACCCTGTACCCAAAGTGAACTCGGGTATATTTAGTTGACTACTAATCACATTTCATCTGAACATCTTTTTTTTGCCAAGCTATATCTCTTCTTTTTGTGAATACTTCATTTTCAAATATCAAAACTATAAATTCAGTTTTGCCCGACTAAACTTTCACTCACTCATTTGTAAATAAGCTGTTTTTGTATTAAAATTGAGTATATTATCTTAACACTAATCATATTGAGCTTCTAACTAAGCTTTCTCCGTATTTTTTTTCACATCCGATCAAAGTTCACTCTGGCTTGCCGACACTAATTTTCATCTTTATCAGCCTAAATGTCTTTTAAATTTCTGTTTGCGTAAGCTAAATATTTTAACAAATACAAAAATGCAAGTAGTGTATAAAAAGGTGATATCCCTCCAGTCGTTATCATCGGTTAGTTCAATTCATGATGCTTTTAAATCACAGCCTTCCTATTTGGTTTGCTTTCCCGCACAGATGGCGCAGAAGGTACGTTCTGGACCCGTTGTCGATGTGCTGGGTGATGAGATGACTCGCATCATTTGGCAGTCGATTAAGGATAAGCTCATTCTGCCCTTCGTGGACATCGAGCTGCACACATACGATCTGGGCATCGAGAACCGTGATAAGACCAACGATCAGGTCACCATCGATTGTGCCGAGGCCATCAAGAAGTACAATGTGGGCATCAAGTGCGCCACAATTACGCCCGATGAGAAGCGCGTCGAGGAATTCAACCTGAAGAAGATGTGGAAATCCCCCAACGGCACCATTCGTAACATTCTCGGTGGCACAGTCTTCCGCGAGGCAATCATTTGCAAGAATGTGCCTCGTCTCGTCTCCGGCTGGCAGAAGCCAATTGTGATCGGTCGCCATGCCCATGCGGATCAGTACAAGGCCGTCGACTATGTTGTGCCTGGACCTGGTCAGTTGACACTCACGTGGAAGGGCACTGATGGCAAGGTCATCAATGAGGTTATTAATGATTTTTCGGGTCCTGGCATTGCCTTGGGCATGTACAACACGGACGAATCGATTGTGGACTTTGCCCATGCTTCGTTCAAATATGCGCTGGATCGCAAGATGCCGCTGTACATGAGCACCAAGAACACAATCCTCAAGAAGTACGATGGTCGCTTCAAGGACATCTTCGAGGACCTGTACAACAAGGAATACAAGAAGCAATACGAGGCCGCCGGCATCTGGTACGAGCACAGACTTATCGACGATATGGTTGCCTATTGCATGAAGTCTGAGGGCGGCTTCGTCTGGGCCTGCAAGAACTACGATGGCGATGTCCAGTCGGATTCCGTTGCTCAGGGTTACGGCTCATTGGGCCTGATGACCTCGGTGCTATTGTGTCCCGATGGCAAGACTGTGGAGGCTGAGGCTGCTCACGGTACGGTAACGCGTCACTTCCGTTTCTATCAGCAGGGCAAGGAGACCTCCACCAATCCCATTGCTTCGATCTTTGCATGGACACGTGGTCTGCTGCATCGCGCCAAGCTGGATAACAATCAGCAACTGAAGGACTTCGCCGATACACTCGAACAGGTCTGCATCGACACAATTGAGGCTGGTGCGATGACCAAGGATCTGGCTATTTGCATCAAGGGCAACCCAAATGCTGTCGAACGCAAGGACTACCAGGAAACCTTCGAGTTCATGGACACGCTGGCCAAGAATCTGCAGATCGCCATTAATAAGGGCTCCAAGCAGCAGGCATCTCTTTAAGCACACACTCTATAAGCACTCGTCAGATGTCCTCATTGTCATATTTACCTGTACATATGTATGTGTGGATGTGTATCCTTAGCATATTTGATGTTTTTCCCCTTTTAAAATAGTTTATATTACATGTAGTTTCCATGTTCGTTCGTCTCTGCGAGACCTCATTAAGAAGCTTGCTTTCGTGCAAAATGTCCCGGTCAAAATGTGAAACAGAAATTTTTTTTAAAAAAAATTAATAAATATTTTTATACCGCCAAGCAACGTTTTGTTCTTTTTTCCTGAGGTCTTTAACCTATCAGCCACCCAGCCACCCACTCGCAAATCGTTTGTTACAGTCGCCTCTTATATATGTTCCACTTGTGCGGCTTCTGCTGCGAGCTCTTGAGCTGCACAGCTTATTGGATTTGCGTCCAGTCTTGAGTCGACGCTCGTGGACAACAGAACAGCTTGGATATCGCTACAGTCAAGATGTGTGTTAAGGCCTTGGGCTATGGCTATTGCCTGGCCTATGTGCTGGCCCTCGTCGGTTGGTCGAGCGACGCCTATCCCACCAATAGCTATCGGGACCTGGACATATGCAATCACTGGAACGGCAGGCGACACTTCCTGGAGCTGGGCGAGCGCGGCGAGCTGCATGCGCGGAATGTGAGCAACACGGCTTATCGAGTGAGTGCTAGCCAGACTGTTGATGTCCTTGATTTATAAGTCAGAGGCCTTACTCCCTACCATAGAGCTCACCTCTGAGTCTCAAGAGTGATTTGACTGCTGCGGATGTTTGGTATCAATGCAATCTGGAGCTGGTCACCTGCGCCGAGTGCGTGATAAGGGTAACCTTTACTCACGCCAACTTCTCGAAGAGCTGCAGCAATACGAATACCAATATGTGTCCTTGCGAGCACATACAGTTCTCGGAGCCACCCTATGATACCACTATATCGGGGCAGGAATTCTGTGGCGATGGCAAGGTGTTCCGCAGCAAGACGAGAACCCTGCAGCTCAAGTTCTTCTACAGAGCCACCAATGCACATGTGTTCTCCTTGCAGTACTTCTCAGAGCGTGAGTCCGGCTTCCCACTTAAGTAGCTCCCTTTTACGGCTCTCTCGAACTCCCTTTAGGCAATGTGAAGATTGTCAGTGGCTCGCCCAAGCAATCCATTGTGGGCAATGGCAATGTGAAATACTTGCCCCAGGTTATCTCAACGCCCTATTTCCCTATGACCTATCCGCGGGACTACGGCATCGAGCACATACTCACCTGTGAGGCAGACAATTGTCAGGTGCGTCTGGACTTTACAGACTTTCAGCTGGGTCTCGCCTCGACGCTGGAAATCTTTGATTCGAATGGCCAAATGCTGGACTCCTACACAGGCGAGCACTTCCGTCCTCCGATTACAGTGAGCAGTGGGAAGTCCTTGCTGCTACAGTTTCGTGGCAATTCCGCATCGGGCGTGGGCTTCCGCGCCGAGGTCAGCTTTGTCTCCTCCAAGCAGCTTAAGGACGAACGTCTGGTGCCCTACACGGGTAAGTGAGAGGCGCCATTTGAGGGCCTACAATTGCTTTATTGATTGAAGACCAGCTGAGGGGCACTGGGTGTTGGGTGGCTGTTGTATAAATTCAATGTCAAGGCATGCACTAAAGTGGAACTGGGCGATGCTTTAACATGGTCTAGTTTGGTAATGCAATCGATATTGTTGGTGTAAGTGGGCTTACGGCGTGGCATAAGCGAGGAGGCTCTGTGAACAGAATATGAACATATAATCATTTGAAATTTGTTGTATATATTAAAGGTAGGAGCTGGGACTAATGTAGTGGGCAGTCTATTGAAGGTATCTACCTTTTAAGTGAGCATAGCTAAAGAACAGTGAAGCTTAAACAATTTAAGGGAAGCTAAATGGGTTAACTTGAATCATGTAGCTGGATCTTAACTCGATTTATACTTAACAAAAAATGCCAAGACTCGAGGTTTCTAAGCTCAGCGGAAGCTAGATCCTTTTATGGCCCAAGCCCAAGCCCAAGCCCAAGCCCAAGCCCAAGCCCAAGCCCAAGCCCAAGCCCAAGCCCAAGCCCAAGCCCAAGCCCAAGCCCAAGCCCAAGCCCAAGCCCAAGCCCAAGCCCAAGCCCAAGCCCAAGCCCAAGCCCAAGCCCAAGCCCAAGCCCAAGCCCACGCCCAAGCCCAAGCCCAAGCCCAAGCCCAAGCCCAAGCCCAAGCCCAAGCTCAAGCACAAGCCCAAGCCCAAGCTCAAGCTCAAGCTCAAGCTCAACCCATTTACAAACACAAACCTACCTGAACAGATTGTGGTGGCATGGTAACTGGACCTGGTGGCGCCATAACTATGATGAACATGATTGAAAATGCGACTGATGTGCGTCTGTTCGATTGCATTTGGATCATAAAGCCAGGCAACAATTACATGATGATGAAAACGCACATTTCATTGCGTGTGGATGATTTTTATGGCATGGCAGCCCGATCAGAGCTGATCATTAGGCAGGGCACCACATCGGATGCGACGGAAATCGAGAACGTTATGTGGCCCAATAATGGACTCAGCAAGGAGAATCACATAGCGCCCATATTGACGGGCTACTATATACGACTGCGAGGCGTGTTCGGTATGTCCTCCAAGCTGGCCATCGTCTACAGCGTCTTCAACTATCTGAGTGGGTAAAGCCGCGCATTTATTGGACTCTATTTATAAACATCTCCTATATAGATTGCTATATCGGCTCGGAGTTTCTGTGCGGGAACAATCACTGCATTTCCATACGGCTGCACTGCGATGGCTTCGATCATTGCGGCGATGGCAGCGATGAGCCCGACTCCTGTGAGGAGGATTGGGCCCACTTGCATCACGATCGGCGCTGGTACTCGCACAAGCCCAACTACTACTTCCCCAAGATCGATCAGTATCCGGACTTGAAGACAGCTACGGGCATATTCATCATTAGCACCTTGGGCATCTTTGGCGTGCTGTCCGGCTGGATGGTCATACTCTATCGCATGGGCGTACGAGCGCGTCATCAACGCGAACTCCAAAGCCATTTGCAGACAATTAGCGAGCTGCTGGATCGTCAGGACGAGGATCGTCCGCCGGATGAGCCACCCAGCTATGAGGCGCCGCCCGACTACGAGGAGGTCATCAAGGTGGGCATGCAGCAGGAGCTGCGAGAGCCGCGTCGCCAGCGAAGACGCCGGCCAAGGGATCGCGCCTGCAGTCGAGCGCCGAGTAACTGCACCATGCAATCGATGGTGCCGCTTCATCGCAGCTGTAGCCTGGAACAGGATCAGCCGAGCACTTCAGCGGCAGCAATGACGCGCGCTATTGCCTCCACAGATACTACACAGGATGCAACACAGTTGGAGCTGCAGCAGCAGCAGCAACAGCAACAGTTGCTCTCACAGCGCATGCTGCTGGCCACAGCCATTTGTGGTGAGAGATTTGGTTTAACCCACTTTCTATGCTCCTCCCTCCCCTGCACTTGCTAATTTATCATTATAGAATCCCATTTGCAGGCGCTGCAAGCACGTCTGGCACGCCGTCGCCAGCGAACGTCTCTGCACCGCAGCAATCCGTGGGGAATGCAACGTGCCCGTCATCGGTATCCGTTGGGCGTGAACTATCCGCAGCCGCTGGAGCGACCACGCCCACCAACAACAGTGCAACGGACGACTGCACCGATGCCTTTCGAGACAATTCACTCAATATATCACTCACTCTAGGGCTGCCGAGCTCGACCACCAACCAGAACCTGAGCAGCAACTGCACCGAGCATACGTACTTGAAGCGCTCCTGGCTGCTGGTCCAACAGCCGCCGCATGGTCAGCGCTGTCGCGTGCAGCGCCTGCGACACACCTTCTCCTCACCAGAAGCCTTTGGCGCACATGAGCCGAATCTTAATCTGCCCTATCCGGACTTCCTTAGCTACGGCACGAATATGCCGCACGAGCGCAGCAGCAGCAACTTTGGCTCCGAGCTCTCCAGAGATCCTTCCAGCTACAGCTTTGGCAAGCGCGCGCGTCTTGCAGCAGCCGAACAGAGCGATTGCCATACCTTGACTCCGATGCCGACGCCAACGCCCACGACAAGTGGAGAGAGCTCAGTGCAAGCGCTGCAGTCGGAGATGACGTTGTCCCGGCGAGATTTGCTGAGCGACAGAGAGGCCGAACAGCAGGTCTCCTGCTTTGGCGCCGTCTCGCAGCGACCCAAGCGGCGACGCGTGCGCAGTCGTTCCTTCAGCAGCAGCGGGCGAGCGGGCAGCGGAGCAAGGCGACGTCTGAGGCAACGCAGCTCCTCGGCGGATTTGCTGATCTATGCCAACTTGGAGAGCGATTCTATGGAGGGCAAAACTATACAGCGATTGTTTTTTATATAATAAGGGATTGTAGAAGAGAGGAGGTATATAGAGGGGTTATGCAGAGAGAGAATGTATGTAGAGAAAGGGTATACGAAGAAGGGATAGACAAACAAAGGGTATAGAGATTGAGAGAGAGGGAAGGGGCTATGAGGGAGTTCATAGGGAGAGGGGGAGAGCTCATTGAGAGAGGGAGTTCATAGAGAGAGGGATACATAGAAAGAGGGTAAACAGAAGAGGGTATAGTATATATAGACTGTGTCTGTGGAAAGAGGGATTAAAAGAAAGGCTTATAGAGAGGAGAGGAGCTGAGGTATAAATAGGGGAGGTATACACAGAAGACGTGTATAGAAAGAAGGTACACAGTGAAATAGCGATACAACGAGAAGGAGCTTATAAAAGAACGATAGTATTATGCCCGATGTGATGCTGTTCAGCAGCTGGTCTTAAAACTAAATACGTACTCATATAGAAATACATATAAATAGAGAATATTATCAAGCAAAGCTAAATAAATTATTTACACAGTTTGTTGCATTACTTTTTGATATATATGGCATATATTGTATATATATTTTGTATATAAGATTCAGCGTATTTTTTTATTTTGCTGCAGTGCATGCCAAACTGTATGCACTTACAGTTGGACAAGCCTAGGTGCGTTTAAAGTGCGAAAGAAAAACGATGCAATTTCTCTATATAGAAACCAAGGAATGCGCAAAGTACAAACAAACATATATATATAAATATATATATATATATATATATATATGTGTATGTGTGTAAGACTACAACTGGTATATGTGTATAGTATATATAGACGAATACGATAGGCGTAGGACTGCCTGCTAGCCAGAACTGTCTACATATTTAGAGATATATATGTGATATATCTATGGTTGC